ATGGTGTGCCAGTGGCGCTTTGCCCGCTGCCTGCACCCACACGGGGACTTCGCTGACGACATATCGCTCCTAAAGTGAAAGGGAAGACGTGGAGGTCATATAAAGACATGTGCTTGAAAGGCAGGATAAACATGGACTGTGGTTAAAAAGTGTTTTAAAATGTCGGTGCTGTTAAAACAGGAGCTTTGAAAAGATTTTGCAGCTAACGTTAACTAAAGAAAATGGTGACAGCCTTGCTGCCCTCAAGTGTTTTGCAAGGATAACTAGAGCCGTCACGAAAAAGCCGTTTTCATCAGCATCAACTTTGCCTGTTTGAGATACCTATGCAGATCAGCATGGCTATAGAGAGCAGATGCAGGAAAATGTGAAATGAAAGAATAATGATTATAAATAGTATATAAATAAATCACAACAATGGATTTGTTTTGTAATTTGGAAAGGTTTGTCTCTTAACATTTGGAACTTGCGGAAAGAGCATTTAGAAACATTAAAACACTTTTAATGAAGAAAATCACGCCAGATATGAGTACTGGATGGAGATAATGTAAACATATGGACGTATGAACTGGTCACTGTGTGCGTGTGTGTGTGCGTGTATAGATGTTCTGTTTGTGGCTTAGAGTGAATGAGACGAGTCTGATACATGTGAGCATGCCTGTAGATGTGCGCAGCTGTACTGTAAGAGAAGTGTACTGAGAGGTTTAACAAAAATGGAAACATGATAATAGCGCCAATGAAATTACATATGCCAGCAAATGAATCCTGCAATGCAAAACAAGTATGCATAACGTGGCTAATTTGATGAAATATCAGACGTTATATTTAAAGTATAAAAATCGGTTTTGCTTCGTGTGAAACTGAGACTACTGAACACAGCAGATGTCACTTTTTCTTATTATATTGATGGCTTCAATTTATCTACTGTACATAAAGGTTGTGCATTCCAGATCATGTATTTGCGCGGACACACACAAAACACACAGAGCTTATACCCCCGCATATGACTGCTGCACCATCTGATGATTTCCACATGTAACAAGAACACATGACAAGCAAACAAACCAAGACTTTATAGGGCTTTTTTTCCACAAACACAAACTGAATCACTCACCACATCTTTCAAGGGGGACCATAAATGTATGCTTGGACGAAGATACCAGCCCAACGTATGTTATACACTAAAGAACACAATCTATGTCTATAAGAGACTGTTTGTATTGTCTCTGAACAAGGTGTAAATAGGTCAACTCAGAACTGTTTATTTATCTGCCAGGCGTTGGCAGCACTGTTGAACCAATAAAATACTAATTGTAACTGGAAAATGTGTTGTCTATATGTAGCGAGTAAAAGCCACCGAGTAACCGCTAAGGGCTTCTATACTACTTGTGCATACTTTCAGGCCCAAAGCTCTTACAGGAACGAGCCCAGAATAAACGGGACAAGAGGGTCAATATCAGTCAGATATGTTAACATTTATTATTTTAAAAGAAAACAAAGGGTTTGCAAAAGGCCTAAAACATTCTTCTTCTCGGCCACTGGTACTTGATTATACCCAATTGCAAGGTCCAATGTAGAGAAACACGGGAGCACAGTGGTGCGTATGATTCCTCAATACGGGCTAATGGATAAACATGTTTCCGTGTCTTGGCATTAAGCAAACGGTAATCAACACACAGCCTAATCTCTCCATTTTTCTTGAAAACCACCACCAAAAACAGTCACATCAAGCTCCATGTAGCCTATATAGGGGATTTTCAACCCATTAGCTGCCCTGAGGCGTAACCATTGGCATTTCTTTAAATGCCCCACCCCCTGCGACCTGAAGTGCTTCTCAAAGAAACTCTCTCGAATAGTGGTGACCATGGACCCAGTATTCAAAAGACAGGGAACTATAACACCTCCCATTTCTATTTCCACCACTGGACTATTCCCAATTAATCGACAGGGATCTTCCATAACAACTTCAGCTGAGCCTGTAAACCCTATTCCTGATGCCTGGCTCTCTGCACCAGAGGGACCTAGTTTCCCGATGGCTGAGACACAGGGCCTTGTTCCACAACCTGACTTTGTACATGTGCATCAGCATGAGACCCACCACTATTCTTTATAGCTGGACGTTTTACCCTACAGAACCTGGCAATATGACCAGCCCAACCACACCGATGGCAAATTGGCTTTCCATCTGCCTGGAAACGAAAAGGCCTAGTTATGGGAGGGGTCGGGGTTAGTCCAGTCTGAGAGGGCTGTGAAAAATGGACAGACATTTGCTTCATGAGCGTATCCAACTGAACCTGTTGTTTTCGAAGGCACTCTTTTATCTGTAGAATGTCATCATTAGGCCTAGCGGTGACTGCATGCATCTCTGCATTAACTCCCTCTACTACCTGACAGTTCGTATCACAAGAATAGGCTCGGGACCTAGTTTTCCCTCCCTGCCTACCTACATCAGCCCACTTAAGGGCAATACTGCGTAGGGCAAGAAAGGACATGTCTGGTGTTTGAAGGACCCGCTGTTTCAACTCTCTGCGCAGCATATCATCATGGACATGTTCAGTAAACTGGTCCCTTAGCAATATATCAGAATTTGGAATACCACCTGGTGTCTTACAGATTACAGTGTCCATTAAAGTTTTAAGGGCATGAGAGTAATCGCGCAGAGATTCCCCTTCTCGCTGGGTGCGCTGGAAGAACTGTAGCTGGGCAGCTACATATGACTGAGTGCAGCTATAGTTCTCGACTAAAATATCAAAAATCTTGTCAGGAGTGTCTCTACTGCTACTCGAATGAAAACAAACCTCAGATTTAGCACTGCCCTCAAGATGGTCCATCACAAACATCACTTGTGCTGCTCTTGACATAGGACTAATCTCCAGGCATCTACGTACTTCTTCAACCCACTGGTCAACAGTTAACAAGTCCACTGACAATTTACCAGTAAACCTAGGGCATTTACGCTCCCGAGGTGCATAAACGTAACACATTTGTAGCTTCATTTATTGGGTTCATATTTGATGGCACAGTAGATGGACCCGGCACTGGACCAGTCACAGGAGAACGTTCTTGTAATTGGTCTCAACTGTTCATTTGCTGCTTTTAGCTGCTGCAGCTGCTCCAAGAGGGCCTGTATGTCGTCCATAGGGTCGGCAAAGGAGGTTTATTATCCCCGCGGGCAGCCCAACCGTTGGCTTCCCCTCCGTAGAAGAGGTCACTGTTTTTCCTCCTCTCCTCTAACACTCTTACTAAAATAAACCGGGCCACACTAACATAAAAACAAAACACCGTAACTGATATGACCTAGATCCTGTCGACAACGCCAAATAATGTAGCGAGTAAAAGCCACCGAGTAACCGCTAAGGGCCTCTATACTACTTGTGTAAATTTTCAGGCCCAAAGCTTTTACAGGAACAAGCCCAGAATAAACGGGACAAGAGGGTCAATATCAGTCAGATATGTTAAAATTTATT